ACGAGGTTTTGGGTTGGTTTTTTTTTTTTTTTGATATGTGCACTAATCCATGTAGTCCTTAACTGCTTTTTAGCCTTAGTTCTCCTGAGTGAACTCCACCTTTGCAGGTGACAAGTACCCCTGCCTCTTCACGGGCTTGTGAAACAGCTCGTGTGCGGTGCTTGCCCTGACGAAGGGTTCGTCTTTCACAGCGTCCTTGCCCATGCCCATAACATGGCTTTCAAAGCGCTGTGAGCGCCCCTTAGCACCCATGCTAGCAGTGGGGTATGCTGGTATTCTCTGGGCTCACCCAGAAAGGCAGTGCCAGACCTGCTGTGACCCATGGCTCCCGACCCACAGCTCCCGGCCCCTGCTGCGTTGCAGCAGGGCACGTAACGCCTGGGGGGGTTTTCCTACGGCCTCTGTGGGCCTCCATGCATGGCGTCAGCTGGCTGTCGAGGAATGGCAACTTAGGAAGCCCCAAACCAAGAAACACTTCCATCCTCAGCCTGGAAAGGAGGAACCAGGTGCACGAACTAAAGGCCCAGTAGATGGAAGACAACTAACAATTAGTTTCCTCCCTGAACACCTCCCCTCCCCTCCAGTGTTTTTTCTTAATGGTACTTGATGGGGTATGGTTGAGCATGCTGCATGATCGCCAGTGAAGTGGTGGCACTGACGTCTGAAAGGAAGCAATAGCCATGTAGAGCGATCTGCTTCATTTTACAGCTATTATACTCTGACTGTTCATCCTGTTATGGCTTTGCCAGTATGCTATCTTTGTGAATAAACAACACTAAAATACATTGGTTCAGAGAGATTTTCTCTTCTATTCATTAGGTAATGGTTTTCTACATTTTTCTTAGTTTCAAATTCACTTTCTGTAAAAGTCAGATTTTAATACTGGAAGTTTCCGTGTATATTGTCTTTCTTTGCTGCATATTCACTTCATCACCTAGGAGAACAATTTGGTCAAATAATTGCAATACAAATTGACCCACTGGAATGAATGCAAGTTTAAATTATCTTCTGGCCAGTCATGCAGCAGAGAGACGTTTCAGGGCTGCATGAGTTCTGTTTTTGACTTAAACTGTCACAGCCTCCTGACCATAAGAAAAAATCCCAAAAACTGTGGCAAGAGAGAGAACATTTTATCCTTGTTTTGCCTTACAAGAAATAGGACTCTTCTTTCGTTGTGGTGGTTTGCTCTTCAGTCAGAGGTAGAAAATGTGGAAGTGTGAGTTTGTGAATCTAAGGAAGGCAGTCTACAGATACTAGGTAAGTAATGCTTAAGACTATCATAGCAGGCATGTCTCCTTAAACAGGGAGGTTCAAGTGCAGCATCTGTCCAACAGTACACAGGCTGTTAATTCCATAGAATTTAAACTTTGCAGATTTCCTTTAAAAATTGTTTTAGTGGTGTGAAAGAAATGGCTTGTGTTTCTATTAATATGGTTTTTTATTTCTCATCACCTGACTGTAAACCACACAGATACTGCTCAGTGCTATGTTGGGATACATTAATTTTGTTTTCAGTAAAGAGTGGTAGCATTGGCAAGCTTGCCAAATGTTAACCAACTTCAGGTACTATTCTGAAAGGATTAGGCTGTTAAAGAGGATGATGTAGGAACCAGTGGAGAATAAAATAACACTTATTACATACATTGTATCTCTGGCACTGCTTGTATTCAATTTCTTCAAAAGGTAAAAAAGGGTAGTAAGTAGTGGGACACAGTTCAAGTATATGCTAGATATTCAAATAACCTTTATATATAAATCCAAGTGTGTGTTCCATTAGAAAGAATAGGTCTGTGGATGTTTTGTGTGCAGGTGCTGCCTGGAGTGTTTCTGTTTAGCTGTAGACCATGAAAGCTATGTTTTATTTTTATAAGTTGTCTTTGGGATTCTTTACTTGTCAGAGAGTATGAAATTGCTCTTAACATGGGAACTGAGCAGTTTTTTGATACCACAGTGTAGCTGCTTTTTTTTTTTTTCCTAGGGTTGGATACTATTAACATTGTAGGACTGGTTGGTGGGGAAGAGTTGCTTTTGTTGTTAGCTGAGGAAAAATGGAAAGAGGAGAATGGTCCATGCTGCTGAAGTCTGCGGGGAGGTCTGTTCTGAAGGGCAGGTGGCATTAAGCAGATCCTGCTGGGGATCCTCCCATCAGACAGGAGGATAAAAGGGGACAGGGCAGCATGCAGGTCTGTCTGCTTCTTTCACCCCCTCACCCTTATCCTTGGCTTTAGGAGATCAGAAATCATTTGGATCTGAAGCAGGAGCTGAAGGAAGAACTTGAATCCATCTGGAGGACTCCTCAGCCTTTTGTGTGGACAAACAGCAGGGTCTGACACGGTAAGGGGAGATGATTCAAGTGAGACATCCCTCTCTACAGCCTTTCCTCTAGGACCAACTGTCTTGCCAGCTTTCTTTTCTTCCAGCATACTTTTGAATTGCTTTGCAAAATATGTCTTTAGTGTCCTCACTGTGATGTGGAATGGAAATGTGCATTTTTTCCGCAGGGGGCACTGCTTGGTTTCACTCTCTTCCCAGTCAGGAACTTTAATTTATTCTGCCTTAGAAAACTTCAGCGAATTGTGAAATTATATTTAAGGGAAAAAAAAATTTTGCTTTTAAAAACACATTGCTTTTTATTAATAACGATTCAACCGTAGTGCCTAATAAAGCTTTGCAAAAGAGCATGTTAATGTCTTTGTTAGAACAGTTGTAACCCTTTATTTTTAAGTTCACAGCTCCTAGTGACTCCATAATTATTTGTCAAGCAGTGGCAAAAGAAAACACGAAGTCTGACATATTGGATAGTTACACAGTATAAAGACTTAGAAAAGTCTTTTGCAAGGAAATCAGTCTAGTGATGGATAGAGCATTAAGCATATGCTCTGTGTTTATACGCCCAGAGCACAATACCTAAAACTTAAAATTAGTCTCTTAGATAACCCACAACAGTCTGTAATACCCAGGGACAGGCTACTTGAAGTACTTACATTGTACTTGCACAATGTAATAATTATGAAAATATATATATTTAAACTTTATTTTGTTGATATTAGGTTAAGACATCTTAATACTGCCTCAGGAACTTGAAACATGATTATTGATTTATCACAGTTCTATGAACATCTTTTCTGAAATATTATACCTCATTGTTACCATTTAGCTTCTCTTTGCCTTTGGAAGCCGTGTAAAGAACTCTGACCAATGGTTCTGAGTTGTTGGGAAAAGACTGCTGACATATTGCTTGCGAAGCTGGTATTTTATGGTATCTTTAATTTATTATCTATTTCCTGGGTAAGGACTGATTTATGCCATTAGCATCTTCCTTAAAGGTCATGTTTTGGGGTGCTTTTTCTTTCTGACATTTGTCCACATTCAGCACGTATGGAAAAATTAAGTTTGTAGATGAGACCTACATTGAGTATGATAATATTTCTGAAATAAATCAAAACTAATTTGCCTAGAAATATGATTGAGGAACTGTTTTAAATGTCAGTGTGCTAGTGAAATTAACAGTTGTTCATTTATTGAGTATGCTGTTCTGCTGAAGTTACCCTCTTAGCAATTGTCCAAGTATAAAATCTGTTCTGAAAACTGTCTTTGCCATTGATTACTGAGGATGTTTACACTCATAGAAGTCCCTAGACCACAGTTTCCAGTTTGAAATACATTTATCTGTTAAGTTACCTAGAGCATTTGTATAAAACTTTCTGTCATGTCCTGTGTAGTTTTGCAAAGGACTTGATGAGACCTAGTCATGACAAGGTTATTTCAGCCTGGATACTTAAGAGAGGAAATCTTGACTATACTGAAACAAGTGGAAAAAATTCTCAGTGATTTCATTGTTGTCAGTATTTAAACCAAATGTGAATGACGCATCCATCCCATGACACTACTGGTACAGTCACATTGTTCAGGTGTCTGATAGATACCTTTCTAATACGAACTGGATTGATGTTACTTACCAGTTATAAGCGAGAGATATAATTAATATATTTTTGCTTATTTTTACATGGGTTTGTGAAATAAATAGATAGTACTATATATGATGATTCTGGGTTTGCACAGGTTAATGGCTGATCGGGTGCTTGTGATTGGCAGCGGAGGGAGAGAGCACGCGCTGGCCTGGAAGTTGGCCCAGTCCCCACATGTAAAACATGTGTTTGTTGCTCCAGGAAATGCAGGAACAGCTGACAATGGAAAAATTTCAAATTCAGGTAAAAAGGGGGAAAAAACAGAATATGCCCAGTAATCAGTAATATGGATGTTGGAACTGAAACAAAACTGACCACGTTTGTGTTGAGTCAGTAGGAGATAACAGTTATTCTTTTCTTTTACTGGTACCACAAATCATTTAAGGTGCCTATGTATTTTTTTCTGTATGTTTTGTTTCTAAATTTTAGAACTGTCTAGTAAAACATCATGCTATTATCTATTTTTTAGCCTAACATTTTAAGATAGTGAGGCTTATATGAGACTGTTTCTGCACCTCACCTCTTTCCTCCCTCTGTTATGCTTGAATTCACTTACCAATTTCAGCAAAATGTAACAGAGGAATAGAAGGCTCAAAGTCATTAACTTCTGGATAAGAACTTCTCTGGTGTCTGCACAGGCTGCTCAGCTAAATTTAGGTACATCATGCACTGCCATTGAGTAAATCTTTGCTCAGATGTTGGAATTGAGTTTCCAGAACTTACAGTTTTATTTTTTAAAGTTTTTATTCTGTTATGATAAGCATCTTTAAAAAGTTTACATGGATTACATGTAGCAAATAAAATACATTTAATAAGTTAGCAGATGTGTATTAAGAACAGTAGCGCAAATTGGAAATGTTCACTCTTCTGGACTCTGTTATTATGATGTTGTTTGTTTTACTTTGCCCTTCATGGTCTTGTTTCATTATTTTAATCATATTTCTTAAGGAGATGAAACAATGACATTCTCATCTCCCATGTCTTATTTAGGCTTTACAGTGGTAACTTAATTACATTTCCTTTTCCTTTTCAGCTGTATTAGTGAGCAATCACACTATTGTTACCCAGTTCTGCAAAGATCATAACATTGGGCTTGTGTTAGTTGGACAAGAAGCTCTTCTGGCAGCTGGTAAGGCTGAAATAAATTAACTTGACAGTAAAAATCAGCACCTTGAAATCTGCTTTAAAATTACCTCTTTCGGATCTTAGGATGCACAATGACTTAATTAAATTGAAGAGCAAGACACTATGTAAGTGTAAATTGTAGTCACTTAAAACATTTGGCTTCATAGCTGTATGCTGCTTTTTGTATGTTAGAAATCAGCAGGGGAAATAATTCAGGATCAAGAATCAGTAATGGTTACAAAGACTTGTGTGTCTTCTGCTCTGCTTTCCTTTTTTTTGCAATAGTCTTGTTTCTGTATACAACAGTACCCAGACCATCACGTGCATTTATTGTAATGTGCTGCAGTAAGATCTCCATGTCTTAAATAGTGAACAGAGGTACCAAACAGTCGTAACACAATTCATGGGGTGGTAACTGTGACAGTGCTTAGTAATGTAAAGAGCTAAAGACCTCTTAAAACTAAATGACAGAACAGGTCCTTGGATATGCAGAGCCTTATTTTAAGGATGAATTAGGTGTTTGAGGCAAGGAAAAGTGTAATAGACTTCCAGAACGGTTATGTGGTTTTCCTTTTGTCAAAACGACTTGATGTTTCCAAAGAAGTGACCTGGTTCTTTTGCTATTTTTGATAATTAGGGATTGTTGATGACTTGAGAGCAGCAGGAGTTAGGTGTTTTGGACCATCTGCAAAAGCAGCCCAGCTGGCATCCGACACCAGTTTTGCCAAAGCCTTTCTGGATCGACATGGGATCCCAACAGCAAGATGGAAAGCCTTCACCAATCCCCAGGAAGCTTGTAGGTTTATTATCAGGTGAATATTTTCATACTGGAAACTCCTCTGTCAAGTTATCTATGCGTTTGGTCTTCACCCATGATAGTTACCTAGAACTACGTAACTTTTCAACTGTTGTTCTTCTCAAATAGCTACTGAATTAATTAGGTTTGTAATTAGAGACAGATGGTGAAGGTGCAGGGAACTTAAACAGGTTGATTTTTCTCTTCACAGATAACAACTCTTTTTTGATCTGCTTCTTCAGGATGCTAGTTAGTCATTTAACAGACAGAAAAAATGTGGCAGAGAAAAATATTTCAATAAATCTTTCTGAAAGGGTAAGAATAATTGCCACACAGACAGATATGAGCAAAATGCTGTCTGTGGAGTGATTTGGGAGGGACTGGTCAAATATTCATAACTTAAGGAGGATACTCTTATTTCTTTAAGGCTAGACAGCATCTCTCTTACATGGAGGGAGAAATATAACTGCATATCTCTGCAATTGCTTTGAGCAGTAATGCCTCTGAAGTCACTGGGGATCCTTTGAGAGAGTAACTTACCACTGTGGCTATTTTGGTCCAGTCTCACAGCAGTTGCTGTGTTCAGCTATACTGGTCTGTGGCTGTGTGTCGGTTTCACGGACTTCTTGTCTTTGCTGTCACATGCTAGGTGTGGTATAACCTAGTGGAACTTTCTTTTTTTTAAATAAAAACAACCTTTTCACTGACTTTGCTCTGTAACAGCATTTCATCTGTATTACTGCCATGTAGAGAAACAGGCCAACAACTTGTATGTCTGTAAGCATATGTAAGTCTCAGGTCAGCACACTGAGATGTGGAGAAAGGGAGCTTTGTGTGAGCCTGCTTTGGCTGCTTGTGTAAACCTAGGGTTGAGTTTTATCCTAATATAAAGTGCAATGTGGAAAGGAGGAATTGAGATGTTGTTTCAGAAAACAGGCTAGCAGTGTGTAGAATCAGCTCTTCAAAAGGGACACTATATTTGACTGTCCACAAGCCGGAGAGAGGTGAATGGATAAAGTGTAGTTAAAATATGTTGATGTTATGCTGTTTTGTTCTTTTTTTTTCCATCTAGATTTAGTTTGTGTTTAAGAATAAGTGGAGCAGTTCTGGGGATACAGTGTTAATATACTAGTTCTAACATACCCTTTATGTGCAAGACCTAACTCAGCCTTAACCTGACAACCCTGAAGAGAACTTCCATAGTGATTTATAGGATTATGTACTGTAATCTGGTGTTATGAAACTATAAATCATCAATGAGTTCATCTTCCCAAACCTATGACAGGAATAAAATAGTAACCCAACTCAGGGAAACGAGGAAGAAACTGTGAGGTGTTAAAGTTCAGTGACTTATCCAAGGATATACATTGAATTGGTGTCAGAACCAACAACAGAATTCATGGATTTCTGGTTGACAGTCCTGGGCTACAAGAGCCTACTCACCTCTATGACAGGATGGGCTAGAAGGGAATATATTTTTCTGAAATGTTATTCTTCAACCGTTCAGAAAAAAAAGGAAGAATATGGGAGGCATTCAGCTTAAAAATGATAATTTCACTGGATGCAGTATGGATGCCTGAATCTCACTTTTGCTCTTATTTAAAGCACAGACTTTCCTGCACGAGTTGTAAGGGCGAGGGGCCCTGCTGCTAGGAAAGAAGTGACTATTGCAGCCAGCAAAGAGGAAGCCTGCAGAGCTGTCCAAGAGATTATGCAGGTAGATAAGTCTTTAATTAACCAGTGGGGATCCAATTCTTAATGTTCTGTAGCCTGTGAGTTTGTAGTTTTGGCCACAGGAAGAAAGTATTTTCAGGAGAAACTTGCCCATTTGACAAAGGAATTTCTCTGGGTATCCTCCTCAAATTCCTCATGTTTGCCCCAGACAGTGGCCAGGGCTTTGTAGAGTCATAGAATCATTAAGATTGGAAAAGACCTCCAAGATCATCAAGTCCAATCGTCAACCCAACACCACCGTGCCTACTAAACCGTGTCCTGAAGTGCCATGTCTACATGTTTTTTTAACACCTCCACCACCTCTCCAGGCAGCCTATTCCAATGCTTGATCACTCTTTCAGTAAAGAAATTTTTCCCCATATCCAGTCAAAACCTCCCTTGACACAACTTGAGGTGTAGAGTTTGTGACTGAACTCTTGTTCCAGCACTGAGTCCTACTGCCCTGCCCCTCCAACTTTTTCATGTTTCATTGGCTCCTGAGGTCTGATAAGGTGCATTTCAATGTCTCTTCCTTATCTCCAAATGAGGTTCTATTAGCTTTGCTCAGCATACCAGAATTCAAGAAATCCGGTACTTTTCGTATATATTGTTTTTTCTATTGAAAGAAAATAAAGAGAGGATTTAGCTAGTAGATGTCATGTTTGCTAACTGGAGAATTACATTTTTCTTTGTACAGGACAGAATGTTTGGAGAGGTGGTTGTTATTGAAGAACTTCTTCAAGGGGAAGAACTTTCTGTATGTGACTGATGGTGTGGTTGTGTGCTTTTATTCTTTGGTGTTATTGCTATGCTCTGTGCATAAACACACAGGTTTATTGTCTCAAATAGGTTTTTTGTTTTATTTGCACTTACATAAATAAATATGCAGTTTAAGTAATTTGATGTCATACTAATCAACGTATGTTATCAGTAGAATTTTCTTATACATTAGCCATAAAGTTGCAGTTATGGTGATCTTTTTAGGTGGAAAATGATCTTTTTTTCCTAAGGTGACCTAAACCATGTTAGTATGGACTTTGTCTCAGTAATTCTTGTTACATCAATAATTTTGTGCTAATATCTAGTGCCTATTTTAGCACTTTTCTTACCATGGATTACGACTCAGTGTCAGGATAAAACTTAAGCATGCATATTATATGCCACATGAAAACTGAAAACCAAGGTTGTGCAAGGTTTGTCCTGCACAGAGAACACCTCACACTCATTCAGGCCCCAGATCTGCAAACACACACGTTTAACTTGAAACATATGAATAATTCTGTCAAGTCAATGAAGACTGTTCTCGTGCCTTAAGTTAAACATATGTCCACGTGACTGATAGGTCAAGATCTAATTAATCAGAAGGGAATTGTTATGAGGGCCACCATTTCTCTTGATTATTTAAACATGAGAAAGAAAGCTCAATGAATCCTTCAGGTCAGTGGGCTTGCAGCAGAATAAGGGGATCCTATTGCTTTCTATCTTTGATTCCTAAATTTTTGTGGCAGAACTGAGCCTCAGCCTGTGGCCAGCAGTGTTAAATTCCTTTAGGACAGGACTTTTTCACTGTTTCTGTGTTTTGTGTGTCTCTTAACAGTGCTCGTGCTTCACGGATGGTGTCACTGTTGCCTCAATGCCCCCAGCCCAGGCCCACAAACGATTATTAGATGGTGACCAGGGTCCAAACACTGGAGGGATGGGAGCCTACTGCCCGGTTCCTCAGGTATAGCAGTCCTCCTCCTCATCCTGCAATAAGGCTGATTACATCTGTGGTTAATAGATTTCCTTTAGCGCCCAATCTTATTTCTATCACATAGCCCAGATTACTTCTTGAATTGATTGACACTTTGATTGTGCAAGTGCAACACAGGGCTCAAACTTTAGTAATCATTCTTTAGGATTTAGTGAGCCAGTGCTCTGAGGAATGGTCTCTCTTTTACCTTTTCCATTATTCGTCAATGTTGTTGCTTGGTGTTTCTCTGCTCCGATTAGCATCACTTGAAATGTCCCTGCAAAATTCCCCGCATGCCTGGAGTCTTTGTGTCTTGAACATAATAACCTTGGGTTTCTTATTCTTGATTCTTAAAGCTGACTGCATTGTTCTAAATGTGCTGCTCAAGTACATTATTAGTGTGTTTTTCTCTAAGTACAGAAACAGTCTTACTGTATACAGCCCAGGTTGCCAGTGTCTCGAACCTCCTAAAAATTGGCCTTCTATAGAAAGAACCAAACAAAAAATCTTGGGAGACAGAGTATCAGTGTATCTGTCCTTCAGGTAGCATAGGCAGCAGTATCCTGATGGAAGGAGCACACTGGTCGGGTGTGGGAAAGCAGAAAACATAGCTGAGGCATTTACTTACCCCAGTCCTTCCAGGTCCTATGAGCTAGTCCAGCAAATGTCATCACTGACTCAATCAGTTTGATGTTGATCGTCAGGTTCCAGAAGTTCTTCTAGAGAAAATCAATGATGCTATCCTGCAACACGTTGTTGATAGTATGAGACAAGAAGGAACAACATATGTAGGTAAGTAAGCATTCAACTGAAAAACAAGGTAAAGTCATATCAAGATTAGTTTCATTGTTAGGGATTGCTTTTGAATTCCAAGTAATACTTGTTTTTTAAAAAAAAGTTAATCTATCATGTAGTATTAAGCCTCACTGGTTCGGCTTTTAGCTCTTCCTTCAGAGAGAACAACTTCCATCTTTTCTCCATAAAACATACTGTATTTTTATTAAATATTTTGTATTTAAACAGTTGCAACCAGACTTTGTGTAGTTCAAGGTATAATATATACTTAAGTACAGTTGCATTGTTCACTCTTGTATACAGCAGTGTAAGTTTTCTTAAGAACTTTGTCTTCAGGCTCTTTTGAAAAAGGAAAGTGATGCTCGCAGCTGTCACTCAATGCTGATGGCTGCTTTTAGTACTGAAGACCATCAAGCTCACATACACATAAAGAGTTAGGTTCCAGTCTGCAGTATATTCTCTGCTGTTTGGTAACTTTTTTTCAATGCCCAAATCCACAGTAAGAACGTAGTGGGTGTTGAGCATTTTCAGGTTGATGCTGGAGGACCTGATGCTTTAAATCTGTGGGATTTAAATTTTCACACTTTTTATTCTCTGGGAATTGGTTTTCTGCTTATGCAATGAAAGGCCTGCTTTAGATCACCACATGCATATATGTGTGTTGAGTAGAAATCACAGCATGCCAACTTCAATAAGTTTTTGGTTTTGTTCATAGCAGTAGTGAATTTTGGTTTGTTATTTTTGCCTGAAATACGGAGTTATACACCTATATTTATGCATGACAGTAGTGAACTTAATGGTGAGAAAATCATAATGTCTGCGTAATGAATGGGGTTTTATGGGAACTGTTTTTTTCATCCTGTCAGTTCCTTCTGATCTCTGAATGCCTGCGATTAGAGGGTTGTAGCAGAAGGTGGAACTCGACTTTCTGACGCAGAGAAGTTGTTTTACATTGTATTTTGTCTCAAATGTGATGCAATGTTCCTCAGGTTGTTGCTAGCCACTTTTGTTGGTTATTGTGGAATTATTACGACTTGTGTGTAACTGCTTGCAGAATCCCTGCTCCTAATTCCTTATGGTTTGCAGAAATGCTTACCACATTCCAAAATGTTGCATTTAAAGGAGTTCTTGAAAAATAAATGTTTAAATTAATTTGCTTGTCTGTGTTCTTTCTGTTCAGGTGTGCTGCAAACAGGTTTAATGCTTACCAAAGATGGTGTGAAAATTTTAAACTTTAAATGTCAGTTTGGTGACCCTCAGTGTCAGGTGAGTGAAAGATACTGGAAACTTAAATATGCTTAGGGAAATGTACGTGATATATTTGGATTTATGTCTTCCTTCCCCTGAATATGCAGATCTGAATGAGAGTGTTTAGGCAATGTATGAGGTACCTTAAAATTTTAACTAGTCAGCTTCTGTGAATTGTTAATTAAAGAATTTAAGTTAAAAAGCTGTTGCTCAGATTTTATTTTTCTGGGTAGAAGCAGACTGGGAGCGGCCTAAATTCATGTTCCTTCTACATAATCTCACATCTTGTGTTGTAAATTTCTGCCTGTTTCAAAGAGATGCTGCAAATTAATGCTTACCACCAAATCTGCTGGTATAGGGAAATAGTTTGACAGGTACAGATTTTACTCTATTACTTGAATTTTCCCTAAGTTGAATTCCAACAAGTCAGCGAAATAGGAATTAGCTTCTATCACTATGAAAATTTTCTGCAGGTAATTCTTCCACTGCTTAAAAACGATTTTTATGAAGTGATTCAAGCAACAATTGATGGCAAACTCTGCAGCTTCATGCCAGCCTGGTCAGAAAATAGTACAGCCGTGTGTGTGGTCATGGCAAGTCCAGGATACCCAGGGGACTGTGACAAAGGCATGGAGGTAACAGGTAACTTCAGAAGGTTGTTTACTCTTTAATTTTTGCCTAGTACTTCAGTAGGCTTGCATTTACCTCTTCTCCCAGACAGCTGTTCTGCTTTCCTCCATCCTACCCCTCACACTCATCAGAATCTGCCTTTGTCCATCACTCCTTGTCCTTGTGGAAGGGGTAGCTGTTCAGGAAGATCGTTTAACTGGAATGCATGCCTGTCCAAAGTAGCACAGGGGCTACATGGTTAAAGTTACATCATTCTATAAAGCTCTGTCTGTAGCTGGTTGCTAGGATAAGAAGGCAATGGGGCATTATATCCTCCTGGAACAACTCTGATGCTTACAGTGGAGTACTTCCACAAACTGTACTGGATCAGGGACCATGGTGTTGTCAGCACATGGCTGCTTATTGCTAGTTTTGCTCCCTTGCTAGAATGTCACTTTATCTTAGCTAATGCCTGGCTGAATGATAAGGGTGAGACTTGAGGACCTGTGGCCTTTAAAATATGAGTGGTTCATGCCTCCACCATCAGTTTGGTTCCTTCCCTTGTGCCAGCCAGCCAGGTCATTACTGTGTAATACTAATAAGGATTTCTTCTTCATAGGGCTCGAGGGTTTTTTGGGAAGTTTGGCATGTGGGCTTTAGATAAATACTCACTTTCTGTGTTAAAATTCCTGTGGTTTAATATTAAGATTAAAATTTTTTAAAATGTTTAAAATCAGAGGGAACTGTTGCAGAACTATTTCCTTCCCCCTCAGCTACTGCTTTGCCAGTCCAACACTATGCCTTGTGTAAAGCAACCCAGACAACTGATTGTATATCAAGGCCACCTTATTTTTGTCAGAACTCCAGTTATCCTACACCACCCAGAGCAGAGGTCATGTTATATTGCTTTTTCCCTTGTCAAAATTTCTGCTGTCATGTTCTCTTTGCCCACCCTCCTCTTCCAGTTCACTCACTGTATTTATTTTGTTTTGTTGGTGATATTCTGGGAAACTCTGCATTTCTGTAAGTGTAAAAATCCAAACCATGTAACTGAATGAATCCCTCTGCTAACGAGCTGCCTTTCATTAATCAGACTCAGGGATTTAACTTTTTTCCAGTTCATATTCATACCTCTAGGAGTGAGGTTGTATGACCACCCTGCTTGTTAATCGCAAAAAAAGACAGTCAGAACAATGAAATTCAATTCATTCTTTTATAATTATACTCCAAGCCCTGGAGTTGTGTGGATTTTTTTTTCCTATTTTCCACATTGATTCCCACATTTTAATGGCTTTAATAAACATTTTATTCTGGAGCATTTGCTAAAACATGATGGGAAGGTGTTAGGTTTCCACTGCAGCAAGGCCAGCTGCAGCTCAGCTTTGACCTTGTCAGGGCAGTGCTGTGGCAACGTAACACACTGTACCTTCAGCAAGTATAAAGGTCCCTTTTACTTGTTTATAAAATCTGTCTAGCTGACAGCAAAGGGAAAACTGTGTTTTGTTTCACTTTTTCCAAGTGATGGCAGTAGTTCCTCCTCTCCCCTTTTCTTCTCAAAATATGAATCTAAAAAAAACTCTGAGCAATTTTGCTTTCCTCTAACAGGAAAATACATGGAAACAAACTAAAAGAACAAAATATGCCATTTGTTTTAGCTATTGGACAGCCACCTGCAAGTGTTTGTAGAGCATTGATTCCGGGTGTGCTAGGGAATTGTGTGGAGTGTGCACAGCAGAATAGTGAGGGGAATGCTGAGGTAACATTAACACTAATGGTTTAATATCAGGGAGAGGAGAGAATCTAAGCAGTAAACTGCCATGAATTGTGATTTCATTGTGAGCCCTGCACAAATTAATCACAATTACAGCATTCAGCACAGTTTTGCCCTGGCACAGGCTAGTTATACGTCCTGTAGTGGCTCCTGGATCCCTGTTTCAGTTCCTGTGTGATCTGTGTCCTTACTGAATGTCTCAGAAGGGAGTCTTAGGGCCAGTGGAGTGGGATACCCTTCAGTGGTAATGCTGTTTCTTGGAAGACAGGTAAGATGGGAAGCTTTATTGTTGTTCTCCCTTGCCTGAAGAAAGGACTTCAATCTTCACTGCTTTGCCAACATGGTATGTGATTTAAAATGCTCAGAGAGTTCCTTTTGCTTTTGTAGGGCTGCTGCAAGCCAAAGAGTTAGGGCTGGAGGTGTTCCATGCTGGCACAACGCTGAAGGATGGCAGAGTGGTGACAAGTGGTGGCAGAGTCCTCTCCATTACTGCTGTTAAGGAGGACCTGGTGAAAGCACTGGGAGAAGCCAACAGGGGTGTAGCAGCCGTACGTTTCAAGGGTGCCACTTACAGGAAGGACATTGGCCATCGGGGTATACGGCTTCTCAAACAGTCTCTGTATGTAAGCAAAGGCACTAGCAGAAATAGATGCTAGTCCAAAGTCTTATATCTGTTGTTCCCATTTGTGTGATGAATGATGGTCTATGCAGAAAATGTCACTACTACTGCTAGCATGTCCTTTACTCTCTGCAGGGGGCTAATATACAAAGAGAGACATGTGGAAGCTGTAACCAGTGGTGTTTTGTTTCATCAGCGGGAAATGTCGATTGTAAGTGGTACCAGATCAGGTAAGATTGGGAACAGTCTTTGAATTTCCTTGGTATATTGAATGCAACAGAATTTTTTTTCCACAGGAGATGAGCAATGCATTCTTGGCATTGAAATTGAGCTTGAGAAACTGGGCCGAGGCCACCACGAAGAAGGAAAATTCTCATTTATTTCTCATCACTCCTCTTTTGCTTAATTAAAAATAGTTGGCTTAACATGGGGATGATTGTGCTTTTTCAAGGTTAGTCTAGTGAACAGAATAACTCCTAGACTAATGGAATGGTTTTATATGTGACCAGATAGAAGTGATCCTACCAGCTCTATACAGAGTACAACATTCAAACAGGTATTAGGCTGCAACTGATGATCACTGAACTTGTTATGTGCTCTTCAGACTATGTTCTTTACTCTTAGTGGTTATTTACTGAGGGAAACTTCTTGTTAATTTTTTTCCGCTTAGAAAAAAGTAGCTGCATAAAGAAAAAAAGGTGAGCTGTTAACAGTTTGGTACAATGTTTAACCTTTGCTATACACAATCCATAGGTCACAAATACAGAATAATAAAGATCTATTTACAACACCACAAAATATGTGACTTTGGGGTCCATGTTTCATAAAGCTGTGCATGTTTCTGCCAGTGGACACAGTGCTGTCTTCTCCAAGAAATCATAGTTTGCAGTACTTGCCTTGATGAGTGCTTTGGATCTTTTTATTTCCCTTAAAAATGATCCTGACGTATTTGTACTTGGCAGGCATATCAGAAGTAGGAGGCTTTGCTGGTTTCTTTGACTTGAAAGCATCTGGTTATGATGATCCTATCTTGGTATCTCAAACTAAAGGCCTTGGACCTAAACTGCAGGTAACTTGCAACTTGACTGTGCAAAGCTTTTGTTATCTTCCAAGACTGTTTTAAATGCCACAGCCAGTTGCACCATCTGCACCCTTCTTAGCATTATAAATACATCTCAAGGCCACTGCAGTGGTCATTTGAACTTTGTAGGTGATCTTTTGAGCAGGGCTCATGCATATGCCATTGAGAATGTGGAAGTTCTAGATATTCTGTGATGAAATGTTAAAAACCCAAAACATTTAGCTGGACACTTGAGGAACTAAGAACCAGAATTCCCACTGTAAAACAGAGCATCCATTGGCTTTGAGAAAGATCAGTTCAGAGAGGAATTGGTGCAGTGAAGTGCTGAAATTATAATTGTCAGACCTGGCTTAATAAATTGTATGCAGAGAGGTAGCATGATTGCTGCTGTTAGGGCACTGGGGAAAAGAAGGACGGAGGAGATAAACATTAAAGAGGAAGAGAAGCCAATAGATAAAGAATGCAAATTACACAAGAACACATAGGATAAATTGAGCCAGGAATGTATTTATATATTGAATCAGGAGAAAGCTTTCAGCCATCAGAGGAGTGGAGGTCTGAAGCTGCCTTTCACTGATCAAGCGTAGCAACTTAACTTGTTTAAAGCTGGTGTTTATGCCTTTAGTAATGGGATGATATGATGTGGCTTCCTGCAACAGCAGGAGACTGAATAATCCAGAAGGTCTTTTGCAGTCTTACATCCCTGAACTCCTCTGAGCATGAAAAAGTGATTGGTGCTGGCTTTTGTGAGTCTTTGTTCCAACTGCTTGGTGGAGAGACGTTCCCAACTGTGTTTACACAGACTGTTCCCAAGACTCTTCCTTGGCCAAAAAAAGCTGGCCAATGCCTACATGAATTGTTACGAGATCAGTGGGAGGGAGATCTTATAAGGCAACAAAAGTCAGGGGATGACTGGTTTCCATAGCACTTTTAAATCCACCAGCTGGTGAAATAAATCGGGTTTGTAATCCAAACTCAGACTTTGTTTAGGTGCCGATCTGTTATCATTTTGAAGCCAGTGATACTATTTATCTGCATTTTTCCCTCACCCATCTTTCTGTACTGAGCTTTTCTGCACTGGCATAACTACACTGATAGAGCTGTGTCAGTAAGAGGTAGTTACCTTGAAAATTTATCCATACATATGCAATCTTTGTCCTGTTTCAGACCCTGAAGTGGTAACTGACAGGGGTGAATTGCACTGCGTGAGCTGGTGCTGTGCATCTACATCAGCAGTTGGCACAAGTGGAACTGCTCTGGTGTATCCCTGACAATGCAGAAACCTCTGCTTGTAAAAAAGCAGTGTAAATGTTGCCACTTTATAGAAGCCATGATGTCTGAATCAGGTTTCATTACTTATAGGATGCAAACACCTTGATAACTTTTTTAAAGCCAAATAGCAGCCTTCCTGAGGGAAATACTATTGCTTTGTGAAAGACCTGTCTTTCAAGGGAGCCTACAGACCAGGCCCACATTTTTGTCTGTGACATGAGATAGCTGAGATCAAAAGACTCCTTGGGGACTATCGGAGTGAAGAATCTCATCCCCTGTGGGCTTGGAGAAGAAGAAAACTACTTAATAAATTGTTTCAGTTTTGCTGCGTAGCCCAGTGAAATTAGTAGGCAAAAGTAAAGCAGAATACACGGTGATGTTTGAGCAACTCGATCGTATTTTTGGAAATTGTTAGGATGTTCTGTAGGTTGAATATCCTGGGAATTTGTAACTGCTTTTAGACACCTCAATTCTGAATTCAACATACTATTCAAAAAAGCAAACAAACAACCCAAAATGACAATTTCTGGGTAGCTGGAGATAGAATTTGAGTTAATGTTTCAAAAAACAAAATAGTTTTTTGTTATCTCTGCAAGAAAATGAGCCGTTTTCTCTTGATTTAAACTGGATGATGTACCAGGTTATCTTCTGCATGTATGTTCTATTGTGAATCTTTGCCGGGAAAAGAAGATTTCTGTTTATTTGACTGATTAATGTCTGAGTTGTGCATATTTCTTGTCATCACTGCTGGTTCCCACCATGTTTTGCAGATTGCACAAGTGTGTAAGAGACACGACACCATAGGTCAGGACCTGGTTGCCATGTGTGTCAATGCCATCCTGGCTCAAGGAGCAGAGCCCCTCTTCTTTCTCAATTATTTTGCCTTTGGCAAACTTGACGTTGAAGTGACTGAAACAATCAAAGAAGGAATAGCTGAAGCTTGCAGAAAAGCAGGATGTGCTTTCCTGGGTATGGACACTCCTCTCCTTTGAGATTTGAAGGTTCTGATGTTGAAACTATTACTAGTGAAATAGACTTTGTAGGCAGAGGCAGTATGTGGCACCAGAACAGTTGGTTTCTGTTTGGTGGAAAAAACAGTCAAGCATTTGGGCTTAAACGCTTCCTTATCTCTAAAATGGGTCAGCACAGAGTGATGATTTTTACTATTCATGCATTTGGATCCTGATGCATGCTTATTTATCCTTGTACAAAGGAGAGCAAAACTGGCTGCCTCATGTTCTTGAAGTGTTAATATGTTTTCATTCCTTCTCTGACATTCAGTCATAGCAGGGCGGTGCCAGATAAGTAGTATGAAATTAAAAAAAAAAAATTATTACTGTGTTAACCTCATGAAGCTTTGTGTTTGTTGAAGTCTTGAGGTGAGGTAAGAAACCAAGAAGGGTTTTTAAAATATGTCTGAACACACTGCTTAGGCTTCATGTCTCTGCAGCTCTCCTAGATACGTTACTTATTTTAGGAGGTGCTATAGATTTAAAGTTAACAATAAAAAATGTTTATGGCTAGTGCTGACTGCTTTCTCTCCCCGCTTAGGCAGGGAGATGGCTGAGGTGACTGGCATGTATTCTTCTGGCGAGTATGACCTGGCTGGCTTTGTGGTTGGTGCAGTGGAGCGAGGGCAAATGCTTCTGGGGCTACAGAGAGCTGATGAGGAGGATGTGCTTATTGGACTGGCCTCTTCCGGGATTCATGGCCATGGCTTTAGCATCATAAGGAAGATTCTCTTAATGTCCTCCTTACACTACTCCTCACCAGCGCCTGGCAGTTGTGGTGACAAGACTCTAGGTACAGTATCTTTCTTCTCAAAAAGAAGTCTGCAAATGAATTGTGTTTAGACACTTCCATAACTAGGTGCTGCCAAGGGTTGTTTACTTCAGGATGGGTTAGGGTTAATCAGTCTTTGGGGTAGATGTGGGCTTGTGTCCACAGTTTTGGAAGAGTGGGCCAGCACTTTTTGCTACTTCCCAAGGCTGTCTGCCACAAAGAGTAGAAGCGAGCCTGTTCAGAGAAGCATTACCACCAAACACCTAATGAGCTTTTAAACAAATTGATTGAATTGACACTTTTGCTTGCAGGAGATATATTGCTGACCCCAGCAAAAATGTACAGTCCGTCTTTGCTGCCTGTCCTTCGTTCAGGGCACGTGAAGGCTTTTGCCTTTGTTGCTGAGGAGGGGTTGCTGGAAGGCATCTCCAGAATCCTGCCAGAACATGTCAGTGCTGTCCTAGGTAAATATCAAAGATGAGCGTTTCTGTTTAACAGAATTTATATACAGCATTGACTTGACTTTTCAGCTTCAGTTGTGACCCGAAGTCAATGCTTTTCCAAAGAGCCTAGCAAAAACATTCCTATTTTAAGTAAGCATCAGCTGATGAGCATCACTCTCTCATTGGAGAAGGGAAATTTAAGGAGAGTTTGAAGACAGCTCATCTCTGAGAGAAAAGGGATTTTAAAAGATTGTGTGTTCTGCGAGACACCTCTCCATACTGAACATTTTGATCAAACAGTGAAGCTTGTTGAGAGAACTAATTTGCATGATTTGCTCTACAGTATGTGTACACACACACACACACACACACATTTAATGCAATTGTATGGTAGGTGGTAGCTTCCTCATAACAGATTAACATTTGACATCTGTAAGTAAGGTAGAACTTTTTCTGTATAAGTCAAAATTGGGAAGAGTATTCATAAGTTCAAAATATTAAAGAAAACCATATTCATGTGAGTCCAAAACTATTGTGAGGATGGGGAGGGGGAAGAAAGATATCTGTATGTCTGTCTGTATTTCTCTAGAATGAAATTAGAAAGGAAAGAAATAAACCTAGCTTACTAATGTGGTGCCCAGCTTGCTTGCCAGTGCCTGGAACCACAGACAAGAAAACAAGGGATTGTTAGTTTTCTAAAGTGAAGTCGAGATGGCAAGTCTGCACCATCAAGCTTTCCAGAGGCAGCCTAAGGCCATGTCTATGTGAGTAGAGTTACTGTAAAAGCCCATCCATGCTTCCCATCCATGTTCAGACCGCTCAGCCCTGTTCCAGTCTGCCCATCAACACACCTAAGCACACACTCTTATACTAATTATTGGTTCTCTGAAACAGAAAAAAAGGATCTGCTTAAGTAGTCCAAAAAAGCCAGAAGGTGATTTGTCTCACGGCTCCTTTGTCTCTTACAGAAGAGATGCAAGTCACTGTAGCTTTGTCCTTCTGGCTGATGAGGGATGAATACATTTTAATTCACCATCATTTCCTACATGGTCTCATTAGAAAGCCTAGAGAAGGCTTGGCTCGCACAAGTGATGACTAGAAACCTCTAGCTAAGCAGCACCTATAAACTTGACTAGAAGTTTGGTCAGCATCCTCCTTAGACAGTATTCTTAAAATAGCAAGAATTAGGCTCTATCAGCTCTTGTGATATACCACTGTCATTGTATATAAAAAAAGATGGGTAGCAAACATTTGTGCTGACAAATGTCAATTGTTTTCAGATGCTCTCAGTTGGAAGATTCCTGAAATCTTTTGCTGGCTTTACAAAGAAGGAAACCTCTCTGAGGAGGAGATGGCTCAGACATTTAATTGTGGGATTGGTGCAGTCTTGGTTGTACAGAAGGACCTGGCTCAGCATGTTCTCAAGGACATACAGAGACATGAGGAAGCTTGGCTGATTGGAAGGGTTGTTGCCCCGTGTCACACAGGTTAGCAGGTGTCCCAATGGGAAATGAAGACACTCACAAAAATTAAACAGAGTATGGTTTGCTTCAAAGTGTAACAGATTCATCTGTCTCGCTTCAGAGGGGGTTCCACTCTAGGATGTACTATTTAATTGTGAAGTTGATACAGGGTGAGTCGTTTTAGAGTGTGATTCTGTGAAGCACTGAGCATCTCCTGGGAGGTACCAGTTATCCTCAGTTCTGTAGGCACTGAGGAGACTCCTTATGGCAAAGTTTGTGTAGTTCATACCTTTTTTCTGACGTTTCACTAGGCTGGTGGCTACTTGACACCTTCATGTCTAGATTTTTCTAGATTAAATGTAATGGAAGTGAATTGCCTGTTTTCAGAGTGACAGTACTTGAATAGCGTCTTACCTAGGTACCTGCTTGAGGTTTAAGGAAATCCCTCTGTTGACTGTCTGCAAGGACTCAAAAATTACTTAATTGATTATATTTTACCACAATTGTGGTAATCAACCCACCTCCTTTTCAGCCCCTTCCCAACTCACATGGATTCTGTGTAAAGATTGAGGGTAGGCCACAGCTGTGTGCAAAGTCTTCATTCTGGTATGTCCATTGCTTGACATACAGCAAGACATGAGCCAAAATCCCTCTGGAAGCCAAACAGCTTGGGGAGCAGTTCGGGCAGCCAAAATGCAACCTGAGCTCTATCAACATCAACTTTGGTTTAATTTTGAAACATGAGAAAAAGAGGAAGAAAGGTGTAAAAGATGGGGCTAATCCTTGAAAAGACTATGCTATACCTAGGCCTTTGGCAACAATTCTGCGAGGGAGTAACACAGAAGAGATCAGCACAACTCGCATGAGTCGGTTTGTTCAAGTAATGTATGTTTTTGTAGTTCAGTTAGTGCTAGCATAAATTAATTGCTGATTGTTTCTTCTCTTAATTGAAACATGATTAGTGAACTATACAAGTAAATTTAAATGGGAAAGCAAAATCTGAAGTATTTTACCTTTAACTTTTTCCTTGCATATTTGGAGGAGGTTGTCACATCAAAGTTGAGAATCTTCTTGAAGCTCTGCAGCTGAGCAGCCCCCAGCATCTGCTGAGTAATGCTGTTGTTGAGAGTCAACACCAACCCCGAAAGAACAAAGTTAAAGTGGCCGTTCTCATCTCTGGAACAGGTGAGCTTTCATTTATCATTACACAGAGAAATGTCCTTCCAAAGGAGAGGCTGAATTCAGCATTGATACAAGTGTATCCACCTTGGCCTTTTTTTTCAGTGGAGGCTATGTACCCTTCTAAAACCATGGTTGCATTTTGACTGGAAGTCAAGGAGGTGTGTTGTACTGCTTAACAAATGAACTTTATTGGTGTACAGATTCCTTAGTCCCCTTCTATTTGTGCCGTTGTTAAAAATAAGATTTTTATTAGGTAGATGGGACTGAGAGCCAATTATCAGTGACAGATGTTCATCTATTTCATGAGTGTTTGCTCTCTCTTCTTTTGAGGCACAAACCTTGCTGCGCTCATCAGTTATGCAAAAGAGCCAGGCAGCTGTGCTCAAGTTGTTCTTGTCATCTCCAACAAGTCTGGTGTGGAAGAACTACGAAATGCAGCCCGGGCTGGAATTCCCACCAGGGTAAAGACACATTTCCTCCTTTTTATCACTAACTCACAGCTACTGAATCTGTAGGTCTTTCTGAAACGTGTGGTGAGCATTCATGTTTCACTTTTAAAGAAAACTTTTACATGGATAAGTGGATGTAGCACAAAGCTGTTGAAGTTATCAGCAGAGGCAGAGCTGAAAGCTGTATGGACAGTGCTCGATGGAGGCTGTGAGTGTCTTTCCTGTCTCTTCAGTGCGTGCTACAGTCCAGAGTTAGGAAGGGACTTAAAATTGCAAGTGCTTTGATTATTTAGGTCTGAGACTGTAGCCAATGTAGCTTCAAGCTTTAACTGAAATCATTAAGACTTCAGCCTCTGTGAAACACATAGAATCATTTAGGTTGGAAAAAACCCTTAAGATCAAAGAGTACAACCATAAACCAAACATATCCAAGTCCACCACTAAACCATGGCCCTAAGCACCACATCTACCCATCTTTTAAATACCTCCAGGGATGGGGACACAACCACTTCCCTGAGCAGCCTGTTCCAATAGTTTGACAACTCTTTCAGTGAAGAACTATTTCCTAATATCTGATCTAAACCTCCCCAGGCGCAACTTGAGGCCATTTCCTCTTACTCTGTCACTTGTTACTTGGCAGAAGAGGCCGACCCCCACCTGGCTACAGCCTCCTGTCAGGCAGCTGTAGAGGGCGAGAAGGTCTCCCCTCAGCCTCCTCTTCTCCAGGCTGAACAACCCCAGTTCCCTTAGCTGCTCCCCATCAGACTTGTGCTCCAGACCCCTCACCAGCTTTGTTGTCCTTCTTTGGACGCACTCCAACACTAACATACTAACATAAGCATGTTTTCTCCTTGGCTCATCCCTTCTTAGAAGGACCTTTGTCTCGTGTTGTGCTCGGTCACTTTCAGCGGCACCATACGAGTGTCTTCTCCTACCCATGGTCAGTAGAGTAGCACTGTGTTATGGAAACTTTCGTTGGTTTATTTCATAGAACAACAAAAAAATTAGAAAGAGTAACATTATGTCATCATATTTGTCAAAGTATAGAACACGGCTTTTGAAAACATTCAACAACTTGGGATTTCAAATGCAGCCCACCAGGAACTTTGCCTTCTAACATTTAATGATTTTGAGCAGTTACCATATTTGTACAGCTACACACAGATGGAAATAAATACTGTGAGAGTCTCCATGCATTAAAAAGTTTTCAGCAAGCGTCCTCAACAGCTGAGTTGGATTCCTGTTCCTTTTTTTCTGGCATTATAAAGACTCACCTCTGGGAAATGTAAAATTAAGTCACTTTTTCGTAGGCAAGAGTATGACAACTTTGTTAGCCCCTTATTTGAATGTCTTCATGCACAGAGTCAGGAATCAACACTTACTTTGGGAGCTGGAGCTGAGAGGTGCAGTAAAATAGAACAAGACTCCTCCCCTTACACAGAATGCCTGGCCAGTTTGGTCTCTTCTTAGATAAGTTCATGATTTTGAGTAAGCAACTGTAGAATAACTGGTGGTGATGTTGTTGATGACTCAATGCCATTTTTACTTTAGTCTTTGGCTAGACATTCTGGAGTAAGAGGTCAGTATCTTCTGATACATTCCCCCTTATTTCCCTCTACACCACATTACCAACATGCTTCTCTTCTCACAGTTGGTTTGTCTTTGTGCAGATACTCTATACATCCTAGAAAGTATCCTGTGTGAAACAGCCAGTGTTAACTAGCAAGTGATTGGGGTGTTCCCAGGAATGTTTGTATGAATGTAAAAAAACCCCGCAAATATCCTGAATAATGTACAAACTTACACCTTTTAAATCCTCAGATGTCCTGAAATGAATCCATTTTGCTTTCACTTTGTTGCCCAAGTAGCTGCTGTCATTCACACAAAGTTATTTCCTTGGTATGGCTTTTGATCTGTTTTAATATTTTAGGTGATTGATCATAAGTTGTATGGGAGTCGCTCTGAATTTGACAGCACGATTGACCGAGTTCTTGAAGAATTCGCTGTTGAACTAATATGTCTTTCAGGATTTATGAGAATTTTGTCTAGTCCTTTTCTCAGGAAATGGAAAGGTAAGAAATTGTAACTGTAGAAGAGAAATTAAAAGGTGGATGCTTGGTCTCACCAGAATTACAGAGTCATGGTTCTTCATCTTTTGCTTAAATTTCCCACAGCCTTGCTGACACTGAGGGTGGCATGCAAATCAGGGGGGCTGCCCTGTGCTTCCGTTCATTCCAGCCAGTGGAACTACACTGGGATTCTGACTCTGCATTGGCAGAGAAACGTCTTGTGCTGGCATAATGAGTAACAGAGGGGCAAAATCAGGGTCATGGTGTTGATTGGTCTGCCTTCCTGCTGGGAAGGCGAGGTGCCTACAGAGCAGGCAGGAGTTTGGTTCTGTCTGCAGTAGGGGACAGGTAGCATAACTGTGTCATTTCTCATGAAGCTGTGCTGGTGAGTTGTGCTGAACTTACTCCTTGCAGCTGTTACTCAGAAAAAAGTAGGAGGGAGACTGATTTCTCAATGTCTGTCCATCCACAGAGGCAAAAGCAAATGAGGTCCTTGGCCTTAACTGAAACATGCTTGCCTGGCTACTGCCAAAGCCAGCACACCATCACCTGTGTTCCTGGAAGAGCAGTATTTCCTCAGATCAGAGCAGTGCTTCCTCACATTTCCTTAGAGATCTTTTGCTTTTTATCCTGAACCTGAATGTGCCCGGTTATGTTCTGCCTGCAGCTGAGACCATTTAAACTCCTGAGTGGTGCTCAATGCTGTTCTTTTGAACTGATGATTGCATCTCACTTTTATTTTTAAATTTTATTTTTTAAATTTTATTTTTAAATTCAGTTCAAATTGATTTTTTTTCTTTTTTTGTCTTCTCACACTGGTGCCCAGGGAAAATTTTGAATGCTTCCCCATCACTTTTCCCACCAATAAAGGATGGAAATGCCCATCAGCAAGCCCTCAAAGTCACAGGCTGCACCGTGCATTTTGTCCTGGTAAGTGTCCTCTTGCCTAACGTTACGCAAATTATGAAAAGGAATTTGCTTTTTTCTTTTCTGAAAGCAGAAACAGGAAGAGTTAACAGGAATGTGTGGAAATCTTGGGATTGTTACCAGTAAAAACAGGAAGATGTGGGGATTACATTGCATTTGTGGTTTCTTGAGGTCCTGTCTTCTTCCTTCATATTATGGGTTTTTTTGTCAGCTTTTCCTACCCTCAGCAAACTGCCCTCTGAATCTTCTAGCCCATGTCTCTCTCCCTGCTGTACCCCCTAATGTAATGTAGGTACCCCCTAATGGAGGTCTAAGCCTCTCCAGATGTACTTTCAGCCTCCTGCACACAACTACAGATGTGCTTGCTGAGATCTCTCATGAGACTTTCTCTGCCCCGTCTGCATTGTCCATAACCTTCCTGACACTGTTAACCAGCCTCTTCTGAAAGGCTGCCAATATCCCCATTTTAGGAGGAGTCTAGTCCGAAAGCAGTGATCCACCAGGAGCCAGTATCTGTGAAAGCAGATGACACCGAGGAGACGCTGTCAGAAAGGGTTAAAGAAGCTGAGTGCCGGGCTTTTCCCATCGCCCTGCAGCTGGTGGCCAGTGGAGCAGTGCAGTTAGGAGCCGATGGTAAAACCTACTGGAAACAAGAGAGCCGAAGTCTCTGTCTTCAAGAGGAGATATTCACGTCCTCTCTCATGGCTCTGGAGCCTCAAGAAAATAATGTGGCGTAGCCAGGTTAAGGAGCGGCTTGCTCCCTGCTCATCTTTCCCTCCTCCCTCGTCCTCCCTGCCCTCGATGTGCTTCTCTGACTGCAGGCATATCACTGTCACAGGTTTCCATTCTGAGCTGTGATCCTTCTCCCTTAGCTTGCAGCTTTAGTTACACTCCTTTTGCAAAATTGGCAGTGGCAACCAAGCTATCATTTCAGTTTTTAAATGTCTTTTTGTTCTGTTTTTTTTCATCTGTAAAGGAGATACTGTGTTACAAATCAAAGAGGGGACTTAAGCTGTGAAAATGGCCTGGTGCTTTTCTGCTTAATTAATTCTTCTGAGGGATCAATTTTTGTTGGCTGCCATCATGTTGCAGAGCACCAAGAGCTTCACAAAGCAACCACAAACACAAACCATGTTGCTCCAAGAGGGTGACCAGCTACTGTTGGATGGAAGAGGCCAGACACGTTGTGGCAGATACCAGAAGCAAGGCACCTGGCACAGTGTGGATTTGGGGGTGAACGAGCATTAGGGACAAATGCATAGTTCTGTGGGAGCCTACAAGGACCTTAACTTGCAGTAGCAGGAAAAATCTCAATTTTCTTTGTTGACTGACTGGCTTGGTCCAGAGAGTTGCTGCTGTTAAATAAAAGCTTTTTCTGTTTTTCTGCTTATTTTATATCTGCCAGAATAATGACTTGCATGCAAGTAACAAATCAGAGGAAGAAAGCAAGCTAAGAAACTTGAACTTGAACAAACTAGAAAAGAAGTAGCCAGAACTGATTTTTTCCAGAGGAGGGATCGCTAATAGTCATTAGATGCAGTGAAAAAAAAGCTGTTCTTGTTTTGGTATTACATGTACTGTACTAGTAAGGGACACACTGTATATCTCACTCTTGGCTGTATCAGGCTGTTTGAGAGCATGAGTCAGCTCCAGTTAAAAAGTCTAAATTTTTCCTTCTTTTTTTTTTTTTGAAGTGTAGCTAGTGGTGTTTCAGTAGTTAGGGAAGGGAGAAAAAATCAGTTCCGTCCTGCAAGCCCTGCCATTTATGTCCAGAAATCTGTATTTGTCTCTTGCACTCCAACAACTGGAACAAGGAACATGTATTTTTCATTATCTGGGAGAAATAGGAAGAACTGTAACAAGGCAAAATTAGCAACTGCTTGGTATACATAGGCAGTTTTTATGATAAACACGTTGGTTAGTTTGCTTTTGGTCTGTGTAACTGTGTAGTAACTTCATGTTTTATATTTTGAAGTGCATAGCACACATGACTGAATGTTTCTGACCTAACAAATAAAATGTTACAACAGAATAGGGTGCTAGTTATTGTGCTCTGATAGGTCTCCAGACTATCACCATGGTATTGAACAACTCTCTCTGTGTTCCGGCACCCCTCTGAGGTTGGGTGTGGTGGTAGGCTACTAACCTATTTGTTCTTTTTTACAGACTGGTAATTGAAGCAAAGTCATCTAAGATCCAGTTCACAATAAAATTTCTCTTTATGCAGTTGTAGAAATACAGATAGGTCCTTAAATCCCATTTGTCATCAGTCTTAGGCAGCAAAACACCTGAGCCTTGCTCAGGACCTCTGTGATGGGATGGGGTGTTGGATCTGGGGCTCCCAGGTCTTCTGCTGCTGGCCTTCCTGGCAGTGATGGAACTGCTTTCATTGCTGATGTCGTATTTATTAAGCGTACAGGTAGTGATTTCACCCCTAGTAATCTTACTTCTTCTAACGTGAGTTAATTTAAGCACAACTTCTTTTGACTTGTAAAAGGTTTGCTGTGTTGTGGCTAAAGCACTGAGCTTGTGCAGACTGCACCCCTGCCAGAGCTGGACGCTCCCCGCATCTTTTCCATTCCCAGGGAGACAGGCTGGACTGCGAGCCTTGGCGGGCAGTTTGCCTGCGGGGGAGGCCTCTCCGTGTGAGGACAGGTTTGGAAAGACAGACGCTGGGCTTAAGACTTAGCTTTTATTCTTTGCCCTTTACAAGCAAATTAAACTTGACCATGTCATTTTTCCTCTGTATTTGCTTCAGCTTTATCCTCGGTGACAAACGATGACAGGAATATTTTCTCAGCAAGTTTCTTCATCGCGGACCATCTGGCCACTGAAAGGTCACCATACTCTGCGAATCACTACTGACTTATGCAGGATTGCACACGTCTGTAACCGCATAAACTTGAGTTACAGTTGCTGTACTGTAGACCAAGTTAGATTCCGTTTCACAAACTCCTCCTCCAGCTTATACCCCTAGTAAAGGAATTCCAAGGAAAGCGTTTGATATTAAATTTTTCAACTTTATTAGACTTTATTTCAAATCCAAATTGAGATTACGTCAACACAGAAGTACCATAAGGACATAGGTGCACAGAATACAAATCAGCTTTCTCTGTATTAAAGGGGGGGCTCTAAAACATACATCAGCAGCTCCAGTCAGATGCTTCTGGTTTGTATGGAGGCAAATTGGTTATTTTACTAAATACATCAAAATGTTTTCACAGCTATGCTGAAACATTGAAAGAAAACCATGTGCTTTTTGACGAGAGTTCAGCTGTGCAAAAAACCTTCATTGTTTTCAGAACAATAACATTTACTGGGTTTCCATCAGTATTATTCCAGGTGAAAATACTGTTCCAAGAATAAAGGCACTTAACTTCAGCAGAATTTCTGAAGGATGTCTCACAAGGCAAGAACACATTTTTTATCTAGTCCTAGCTCCCAACTCTTTTGGCTCTGAACAAATCTCTGAGGGGAATCCATATGTGGATTCACATGGCAATGCTTGAACGAAAATGGTCAGCAGACATTTAATTCTATTTAACATCTGATTGACAGCAGGTCCAATATTTGAAATTACGGGATACGTCCAGAGAATCTGGGCCAGAGGAGATCTCCAACACTAAAATGGAGACTATACGGAAAAAAAAAAAAATCCATTTCCTTATCTGCAGGAATAGTTACTGTTTTGGGAGTCCAGTTTTTCTTGTTATGGCTAGGGATTTTTATGAGTAAAGTTATTTGCCTTTAGCTGTCTCTTCCATTGAACAAGTTCCAGTATTTTTCCTCACAAACACATCACAGCGCGTGACAAGAAAATCCCTTGTTACAGCCTGTACGGTCTGTTAGAGAGTAATACTGATGTTCTAAGTCAATCTCAGAGACACTCAGATCTCTCTGTAACCAACTGAATGTTTTTTATGTTTGTTAAGAAAGTGACCAAGAACCAAAATGTTAGCCGAGGAAGTGACTGCAATTAGGAAGCAGGCAACGGAGTCATTGCTGAAACTACTGAGAACAGCCCCCTGCCTTAATATGCCCATTTGTGACTTTCTCCGGATTTTACTTCAAATCTTTAACCGTTTGAGTGAGAACATGACGTGGTAAACGCTTTGTGAAGAGAACACAGCGTGCGTGCTATTAGGCTGTGACCTCTGTTTTGACCAATTAAGGCACCCCAGCCGTCCCCTCTGAGGACCTTCACGGACACGCTGCTCCTACTTCCAGTAGATCTTGCCGGCTTCCCCCACCTGTACGGCCCCGCTGGCGACAAGCTGCAGGGCAGCTGGGAAGGCTCGGTGCTCGGCCTCCTTCACCCTTTCGGACAGGGTCTCCTCTGTGTCACCAATCTTAACTGGAACCGCCTCTTGGAAAATGATTGCTCCAGCGTCAACTTCCTCCTGTAAAAGCAGTAGCCGGAAAGTCTGTACGGTTGAAAGAGGTGGGGGGGGGCGAGGGGGAGCAACTGTGCAACAAGAATGTAATCCAGCTGCCTCGGGGATCTGCTTATCATTACGTTATTACAGGAAACGTGAGTGCGGGCTAACGTGAGGAGCGCAGAAAAGGGTGCCTGGCACTCACGCTGGCCGGTGAGGAGGGAACAGAAGCGTGGGGTTCAAAGTGAAAGAGGAGGCAGGCAGAACAGCGGTGAGTAACTTTCCTGCTACAGAAAACAACAAAAGCAACGTTAACGAGGGCCATGATAGGCGAAACCGGACAAAATGATGACATTTCAATTCAGAGGAGCGAATTAGCCAAGCCCTGGCACAGAGCGGGATTAGAGGACCCAGCAGATCTTTCTTTTGCATGTTAATGAGGCAGATCCCTGCTGTTTAGTTATTGTTTCCCAATATGTTGCCACACAGAGAAGAAACCCTAAGTCATATCACGGGGAAAGGAATGCCATTTTGCCTTCTATCTGGAAATAATAGGTTTTGTCTCTTTTTCCAAGAGAAAGCAAAAATGATGAGAATAGATTTCAGGAGCTGTGGAAACGGGGAGGATAATCTGAAGAACACAGTGGAGGGGACACTAGTTACTGTCTACCCTCAGAACTGAATGAGGTGGAAAAAATGCTCCCTGGACTGCTAAAAATGTGCATTTTCCAAGTTGAGAGATCTCTGGCTTTTGTTTTCTTTCTGATTTACATAAATTTTTTGACTTACATAAATTGCCAACTTTCTCCTCTGTTCCCACAAACATTGGATTACTTCTTAAGAAATCTTAGCTTCTTGTGCCATTTCCAGTGTTGCCTTTTTTTTTTTTCTTGAAAGCAACAAATAAGCAAGGTTGTATGATAAAATCTAAGAAGTTGGTTGCTGTGACTACAATAAAGATTTGGGGCTAGCCAAGGCCTTATATGAATGGGTACCCCCACTGC